GTAACATCGAAATCGATTTATTTATTTACCACGTAGTTTATATTTCTCCTGTATGATTTAACCGTGCTTGCCGTCATATTATAACGCAATGACTACAGTAGCTGTGTATCTAATTAGTTTGTTATTGATTCTGTGTCGGAATGCGGCGGTTGGATCACTCAATATCTAAAATGTAGTATGAGTGAAGGCTCTACGGTAGTTTATGTAATGGGTGTTTATTTCCTATTTTGTCTCACGGCTTGTAGCCCTTACAGAGAAGAACAGCTAAATACATGTGTTCCCTTACACGCGGTCCTTGCCTTAAATAATGACCTACTTATCGCAGCCGATCTACTTTAGGCTTAACCAAGACCGTATACCTTTACTGTAACTGATTACTATATACTGACATCCCAGCTAGTATCGTAATCGATATGAACAGCACATACACTAATATATAGTTATCTAACATTGCAATACCTTATTCCATATCGCTAGTAACAGAAGATCTACAACTACATCTAAACTATCATTAGTACCGTATCCTACATATAATAATACCTAGGCTAAATTTATTGATAAAATTATATGAAACCAAACCTGATTTATTTGTTTGCTTCGTAGCTTATATTTTTCCTGTTTGATTTAATCATACTTACTGTTATTTTATTCCATACAGAACAGATACCGGATGAAGAAACAGCTGAAGTTGTCAAAGTTGAAGAAGAAGTACATTCAGAAGAATCGGCTGAAGCTACAGAAACGAAAGAGCATAAATCTAGTGAAGAAGCAACCGAAATAGTAAAAGTTGCGGAACCTTCGAAAGAATTAACTGAAGCTACAGAAGCGGAAGAGTATATATCTGATGAAGCAACTGAAATTGTAAAAGCTGAAGAACAAGCACCTTCGGAAGAATCAACTGAAGCTACAGAAATTAAAGAGCATGCATCCGATGAAGAAGCAGAAGAATCGGCTGAAGTCGTACAAGCAGAAGAACAAATAACATCATAAGAACCAGCTGAAATTGTAGAAGCTGAAGAACAAATAACTTCACAAGAACCAACTGAAACCTTAGAAGCTGAAGAACGAATAACTTCAGAAGAACCAGCTGAAATTGTAAAAGCTGAAGAACAAATGATTTCACAAGAACCAGCTGAAATTGTAGAAGCTGAAGAACAAATAAGTTCAGAAGAGCCAGTTGAAGTTGTAGAAGCAGAAGAACAGATACCTAGTGAAATAGACGAAACCACAGAACAAATACCTTCAGAAGAGTCAGCTGAAGCTGTAGAAACCGAAGGACAGCTATCTGGTGATGAAGTAACCAACATTTCGGTGCCAACACTAGCTAAAGAATCAGAAGAAACTACAGAAATCGAAGTACAAGCAAATGATAAAGAAATACCTGAAGCTGCAGAAGACAAAAAGCAGACTCCATCATCCGAAGCCATAGAAGATCAAGAACAGATATCCTATGAAGAAACGATTAAAGCTACAGAAAGTGAGGTAGCTGCTGAGGAATTGCATGAAAATCTTCAATCTGGAGAACAGGTACCCGTATCTAGTGAACTAACAACGGAAGTTGTGGAACCTGAAGAACAAGCGCATAAGGAGGAATTAACCGAAGCTGCAGAAACTGAAGAACAGATAGCTGTATCTAGTGGAGAAATAACTGAAGCTGTGGAAGCTGAAGAACCTAAGGAACCAGTTGAGGTTGCAGAGACTGAAGAAATGGTACCTGTATCTAGTAAAGAAATAGCTGCAGTTGTGGCACCTGAAGACCAAACACCTGAGAAAGAATCTGTTGAAATTATAGAAAATGAAGAACAGACACCTACGGAAGAATCAATTGAGACTGCAGAAATTGAAGAACAAGTACATACCAAAGAATCAGCTGAAGTTATTGAGATTAAGGAACAATTGCATGATGAAGGAGCTACTGAAGAACCAGCTGAAGAGGTAGAACTTAGTGAAGAAACAGCTCCTGCAAAATCGTCTGAGGTGATAGACTCTGAAGAACAAACACTTCCTAAAGAAGCCATTGAAGAGCCAGTCATGGTTACAAGTGAGATACAGCCTGAGGATGAGCAAGGCAGTCAAGAAGTGACAACGGTGGCTGATAATAACAAACAAATGGAAGTAAACGAAATTAAGGCTGAAGAAACAGTTGAGACTTCATCTCGTCAGCAGTTATCAGACGTAAATAGTAATGATAATGACAAAGAAGTGACAATAAATGGAAAGGCAGACTCATTGGTCGTAGGTAAAAAATTATTATTTAAGACCGTATAATGAAATTTGAGCAGATAGTAGAATTACTATTTTACTAGCTTGTATGATAACTATCGATGTCGTTTTAAAAAGAATAAGGGTCAATGTAGAAATTTTAAGTCTTGATAGCTTCACGACTTTACGTCACTAAACTTAGAATGAAATTGAACCTTTTTTTCGTTTAGTCCTCGTATTAAAAATTTTAGTTTCTAAAAATCTCTACAGCTCTTCACAATAATACGTGTAAACACAGACTTTAGCGGTGTTTTAGGCTTCAATGAAGGCAGATATGTAGGATAAAAAATGGCTACATTCTTAATCGTTTATCTATTAGTAGCAAAAGAATCACAGTCTGCAGATCACAAGACAGCTACCACGATATCAAAAGCTAATAAAGAGCACTCACCTCAATCTGTGGCAACAGCAGGTAGATTATCTAGAATTTATAACATTTAGAAATTGCTATTACGTAAAGTAACATTACTGTCGCCTTTCCGATTGAAGGCTTTTACACTCACTCTTATAAGATGATTCTATTTTGTTGATGTCAATTCTCAGATGCTAGAAATCTGAATTATTTATGTTCTATGAAACTTCACTAACAAACACTTATGATATTGTCTGTCACTGCTCTTAAATCATGAAGATTCGAGAGAGAAGAATACAGATTCACAGGAATCAGGTGCTACTGGTTACCAAAAACGAGAGAAAACACCCGCAAATCTAGAAGAAAATCCATTAAGAAAGCATTTGTAAAATTATTTAAAAGATCGCAATAGAAGTCTTTCGCTTGGTTTAGTATCATAAAAATTTTCTGTAGTTGTAGAATTTGACAAATGTTTATTTTGATAATATACCGTCTAATTAGGTACTAAAAAAATTTAGGATGATATTATATAAATTATTTTATCGGCTGATTACATTAATATGGATACGACCAGGATAGTTTATTTATTAATTAATTAATATGCAATGGTTTGTGATTTTCATTCTAAAAGCGGATTGAAGGTATTAATATCATTAACTACGTAAGGTTCAAGACAATTTAACAATTATAAGCAAATGAATAATTAAGATTTTAATAATATTGTAATACACGCATTTGAGTATAGTTGCTTTTTAATTATCGCCTTTTATCGAAAGATGAATACTCGTAGCGTAAGGATTAAGTTGGGATACCACAACTACTAACGGATTTCTTTACTATAAAGCTAGTAGCATCTTTTTTGAATGCAATCAATAAATGTGATTGAGCGATGCCAATGTGGCATTTATGATAATTCTATACTAGCGTTGATGGATCTCGGAAATCTTGAATCTTTGATAGGAAAAAGTTGAGCCCGAGCACCTTATGCATAAGTTATGATCAAGAAGTTTATAGCTCTACGATGCATG